CAGGCTCCCTGCTATGCTTATCCCTCCCCCTCTACCTCTCCCCCCTGCTCGTGCTCTCTTTGTCCCTCTCTCTAAATAAATAAAATCTTTAAAAATAAAATAAAATCTTTAAAATAAATAATTTTAAAAATAAAAAAAAATAAAAAGGCACTAACCCTTTGCCCAAATTAAAAAGAACAAAATAGTTTTTGTACACTCAATGATAACATTTAGTTCCTACAACTGCCTATACTTTTTACTTATCTTTAAAGATTTTATAATCAGGATATTATGAAATCAGAGTATGTTATAATTGTGGTTAGGTTATAGGACTGCTCTTTGTTTCAAGCTTCCAAACATCTTGGGATACGTGCTAGGTCCATACTGCCTCCTCATCACAGAAAGCAAACAAGAATGGAGTTAGAGTGGACTCTTATTTATCTAGTCAGATAATCTTTATCTTTTTTTTTTTAAGATTTTATTTATTCATTTGAGACAGAGAGAGAGAGAGAGAGAGCATGAGCAGGGGAGAGGCAGAGGGAGAGGGAGAAGCAGGCTCCCTGCCAAGCCAGGAGCCAGACATGGGGCTCAATCCCAGGACCCTGGGATCATGACCTGAGCCGAAGGCAGATGCTTAACCATCTGAGCCACCCAGGTGCCCCAGATAATCTTTATCTTTAGAGGTGGGAAATATCTCAAGAAATCATCTAGTCCTACCTTCAGGCAGATAATAGATTATTTTTCTAATTTTAAAGATGTGACTTTAATCTCAGATAACTTGGGCTCAGACTTCTCAAAGACTATTACAAGAATTAGAATGGAAATTAGAATCCTGGCTTCTTACCTCTTTGAGATAGTCATTTCTACAAACATTGTTGCTCCTGTACTTATTTAATAGTTTTGTGATTTCTCCACTTAAAATTATCAATTAATTGCTCATGATAATTTTAGGGATCCACGTGGCAAAATTTATTTTATAGTAGTTGGGATTGAAAAGTATCTTTCAAAACAGGATGAAGGGGCCCGGGGGGAATGGGCAAAATGGATGCAGGGGAGTGGGAGGTACAGGCTTCCAGTTACGGAAGGAGTAAGTCACAGCAATGAAAGGTACAACATAGGAAATATAGTCAATAGTATTGTAATAGTGTTGTACAGTGACAGATGGTAGCCACACTTCTGGTGAGCATAGACTTGCTGGGGCACCTGGCTGGCTTGGTTGGTGGAGCATGTGACTCTCCATCTTGGCGTTGTTAAGTTGGAGCCCCATGTTGGATGTAGAGATTACTTAAAATCTTTAAAAAAAAAAAAAAGGTATAGACTTGTTGAATCACTGTGTTGTACACCTGAAACTAATGTAACATTGTATGCCAACTATACTTCAATTTTTAAAAAAGGGAGTTACTTCTCAGATATAAAAAGTTTTAATATTTTTAATGATTTTTATGATATACACTATGATATCATTGTCTCATATCAATTGTCTTCTTAAAATAGGTTTTCCAATTTGGGGCTATTTGGGTGATATTCACAATAGAGATTGGATGTCCAAAAAAAAAAAAAAAAAACCCTCAACAGGATGAAGAACAGAGTAGTAAGATTCCATATTATGGAGATCAAAAGCCGGGAGTTATTCTGGAACTCCTCCAGTAGTTATTACCTATCAGGACTTCAGGCTGTAGTGAATGTACATTGGGCTCAGGTTATCTTAAGTTAATGGGGTTTATTGTGAAGGTAAAACCAGGAAGTAAGGAGGAAGAAGAATGGTCCCAGCAAATACACAGACAGGCTTCATAGAAAACTGGCATGTTTTTCAGACTGAGTTGTTTTAGGGACTCACTGTGCAGTTATAGAAAATGTTATTAGAGCTGCTTGTTTTGCTGTAAGAATATGACTAAATGAGGACTTGGCTAAACACTGCTCCTCTTCCTTCTGCTATACTTACTTCTTAATGTCTTATACTCAATTTCTTCAGAGAATCTGATTATATTTTGTATAGTGTTCCCTGATAGCCAGAATTCTTATATCCTGCAATCTGATACATGATTGCTCTTAGGTCAGCATCAGCAGTCAGTGGAGACCAGGGGTCACAAGGTACAAAATAATGTCTAACATATACCAATATTCTCATAGACAGTTAAATATATAAAGTAAGATCAGGGGCACCTGGGTGGCTCAGTCGTTAAGCGTCTGCCTTCGGCTCAGGTCATGATCCCAGGGTCCTGGGATCGAGCCCGGCATCGGGCTCCCTGCTCAGCGGGAAGCCTGCTTCTCCCTTTCCCACTCCCCCTGCTTGTGTCTCACTGTGTCTCTCTCTGTCAAAACAAAATCTTTAGGAAAAAAAAAAAAGTAAGATCAGATGATAGCATATTACATAATAACTAAAATTTACATCCTGAAAGGCACTTTAGAGATTCTTTATCTAAACTCCCACCTACCCTGCTCCTTCTCTTTATTTTAAAGATAATATTGAAGGTTAGAAATTATGTACGTGCATGAATATAAAAAGTTTATTCCATTTTCAGACATCTAATCAATACAAAATTTTGTAACATTAAGAGAGAATTGACTTACTACTATTCATCCATTATGTACCTCTCCAAGAAGAACAACTTGTTCCTTCAGGTAGATACTTGAAGTTCAGTATCATGTTGATGCTCCTTTTTTCTTCTCCAGGGGTAAGAATCCCCAGTTTCTTTAATCACTTCTTATAGTAAGACAAACTCTTTATTGAGCTTACCAATTTCCATCTAGAGCACCTACAGCTATAGTGTCCTAATTGTGATTTAGCCAGTCCATACTAGAGAAAGACGATTATCTCCTTTATCCGGGAATGTTTAAGACTGAACTTCTAACACTCGCATCACATTGTTACCTTCTTTTGAGCTCACAGTCATAATTAGTAATTACAATTAATTTAACTGTCTTTCTCATATGCTGCTTTTAAATCATATTTCTCCTATTTTATACTTTGTTATTGCTATTTCAAAATGAAGTATAAGAGTTTAAGTTTACCTCTGTAAAATTTTATCCACTAGATTTGACTTGTATTTCTAGCCTATTAGGATCTTTTTGGATTTTGATTTTATCAAGCAGGGTTTATAGTCCATCCTGCCAGCTTTCTGTCACCTGCTGATCTGATCATCTGTGTACCCATCTGTGTAATTAATAAAAATATTAAGTAGCATTAATCAACTATGACACTAACCAACAGTGTTGCCATGAAGACTATATGTCAGTATATCCTAAGACTTGTCTAAATAAGCAAAATATAAATCCTTTATAGCTATAGTATTTCTCTGGTAACTTGCCAGCTAGGAAGTCAAGTTAGTACATCTTGACTTGTTCTTAATACTCTCAAATCTACAATCTCAATAGATTGGCCTTTGGATAGAAATAATTTGGCAGTGGTTCAGAAGATAAGAGTTTAGAAGAAAAGCATCGAGTTGGTGAACTTCACTCCTAAGAATAAAAGCAAAGTTAAAAGTCAGATGAGTTTTCTACTTAATATCCCACCAAGAAACTCAGTACTTAGAGAACCTGATAAGATTTTAGTCTTAAATTCCTGTGTTCTTATTTTGTTATTCCTGGATGCCTTCTTGAGGACCATTAAAATGAGAAAGACTTACATTCTTTTCTTCAGAGACAGGACCAAGAAAGCCGGGGGAGATTTAAAGAGGGAAGAAAAGACTAGATTGTGGCAATATGAAAAAGAAAAGAAAGCATGCAAATTGCTTGAGGCCTATGGCAATGAAACAAAATGAATCAAAAGGCCCTATTCTTTCCTTCTCATAGAAACCTTTTTTCTTTCTTTTCTACTTTCTTACAAACTAATTTTTAAAATAATCTGTTTTAGAATCTTGCTTAGAATTGAAAGGTGTCTAGCCTACTACATGTAGTTTGTTCAGTGTTATCCACTTGCCTTTTGGGGAAATTAGAACTATAAGTATTTTTAAAGAGGCTTTTGGCCTGTTTCTTTATGGTAAGTGAGATTAGCAATAATTCAGAAGTCTCATTTGCAGAAATTTTTAATGAACTGAGATTTGATTTATCCAATAGGAGACAAATTAATCAAAAGCACTTAAAATCGCACCTATTTGGGGGGTATCTGGCTGGCTCAGTCAGCATAACATGTGATGATTGATCTTGGGGTCATGAATTAGAGCTCCATGTTAGGGGTAGAGTTTACTTAAAAAAAAAAAAAAAAACTCACCTATTTTGGAGTTCAGTTTCTTTTTTAGTACTAAAATTTCTAAACTAATGATTCTTCTTGACCAAAGAGATGGGAAGCATTTATGTATCAATCTGTTTTGTAATTTAATATAGCTAGTACAAGATAGTAAAATCTATATATGTGTATACATTTGTAATCACATTATCTTACTGTGATGAAAAATGAGGATTCTGAATATGATATATGAATTTATCTTAAATTTTTTATCTTCAGTGTATGAGATAGATTGAAAGTTTTTTATCCTGAATACCTCTTTTTAAATAATGTGATGCAACATCTCTATTCTTTAGTAAAGTGACTCTGCTTCATTAACTTGTATTTCTACCTAGCTATGTATAGATTATATACCACATTGCTGAATTTAAAAGCAGAAGTTCAGGGCATTGGAAGGCTTAAAACAGTTCTTAAACTGTTAGAAAAAGCAGAATACAGGTTTTTTCTACCAAATTTACTTCTTGTTAATCATTTAACCCACACATTCCTAAACTATAGTTTGTCCATGGTTTGGGACAAAGACAAAGAGCTGATAGTCTGTTTACCAATGTAGATGTACTTCTAAAAGCTCATCTGCTAACTTTTTAAGTCATGCTAGTGCTGAGAGGGATGCAGGGCAGAGAAAATCTTTGAGCAGCTCCGGAGCTGATCTCAACAGATAGCTTTTCCTGTTATTTATAAAAATAGAGCAAGTAAGTACCACATGTTAAACCTGATTCTGTGGAACTAGATTTGCCTCAGATAATTGGAGGTGGTGGGGAATTGAAGAAGAAAGAATTAGTATCTTTTCTGCAAACTGCTTAGGAATTTTCACTGTCCTTCCTTCCATATACTTCTTTTTTTAATAGCAAAGAATACAAAGGATGCATACAAAAGATTCAGCATGTTTCATAGCAAAGCGGGTATATTTATAAACATTATTTTTGTTTTAAGCTATCAGAGTAGAAATTGGAATAATTTTTTAAAATAAAATTTATTTCGGGGCCCCTGTGTGGCACAGTCAGTTAAGTGTCTGACTCTTGGTTTCCGCTCAGGTCATTATCTCAGGTTCTTGAGATCAAGCCCTGCATCAGGCTTTGAGCTCAGCAAGGAGCCTGCTAAAGTTTCTGTCTCCCTCTCCTGCCCCTCCCCACACTCATTCACTCTCTCTCTCTCAAATAAATAAATAAATCTTTAAAAAAAATAAAATTGAATTCAAGGGCACTTATATAGCAAAGAATTGCTTTTGTTTTTTTTTGTTTTTTTTAAAGATTTTATTTATTTATTTGAGACAGAGAGAATGAGAGACAGAGAGCATGAGAGGGAGGAGGGTCAGAGGGAGAAGCAGACTCCCTGCCGAGCAGGGAGCCCGATGCGGGACTCGATCCCGGGACTCCAGGATCATGACCTGAGCCGAAGGCAGTCGCTCAACCAACTGAGCCACCCAGGCGCCCCAAGAATTGCTTTTGTTGATACTTGAAACCTATTATGCTCAATCACTTTAATCTGCATGCAGAGAAACCCTTTGAACTCTCAAATTTAGTTACCTTCCAACTTCCACAGAGGCACTGTAAATCTTGCCATATTTCATAACATGTAATGAAATATATGTACAGTGCCTCTGTGACACTGTTATAGATTAAATATAGCAATAAAAGACAGAGGATTTGTTTCATAGACTATGCAAATGCATAACTATGCAGAAGTATGAGATTGTCTTTTTTTTTTTTTAGAGAGAGTGAGCACACAGGCAGTGGGGAGGGGCAGAGGGGGAGAGAGAGAATCTTAATCTCACAACCCTGATATCGTTATGTGAGCTGAAATGAGTCGCATGCTTAACCAACTGGGCCACCCAGGCATCCCTGTATTTTTCATTCTTTTTTTAAAGATTATTTATTTGAGAGTGAGAAACAGCACAAGTGGGGGAAGGAACAGAGGGAGAGAATCTTCAAGCAGACTCCCTGCTGAGCCCGGAGCCCAACAAGGGGCTCAGTCTCACAACCCTGAGATCATTACCTGAGCCGAAGAGTCAGATGCTCAAGCGACTGAGCCACCCACGTGCACCCTGTATTTATTATTAAAGGCAGCCTACAGGCATTTTGGAGCTTTGATTTTCAACCAGGAAGGAAATGCAAATTTTTAAACTATTCAGAGGTTAAAAACTAGCAACCTGGGTAAGGCTGGGGAGATTGATTTTTGACTAATAGATTGGTATTCTGACTAATACCATACAGTATTAAAAAAAAAAAAAGGAAACAAAAAAAAAAAACCACTATAAGACTTCTCTTCAAAAGGCAGACAAGACTTCTTCTTTTGGCTAAGATAGAATCACATGGACCAGATTCACCTTCCCACCTGAAACCGAAAAATGGACAAAGTATATGAAACAGTGCTTTTCAAAAGAGTGGACATAAGGAAGTGAAACACAGTGATCCCTGAGAAAAAAGAAAGAAGAAGTCCTACCATGTTGGTGCACCTGGGTGGCTCAATCCGTTAAGCACCTGCCTTTGGCTCTGCTCACGATCCCAGGATCCTGGGATCCAGCCCCGTGCAGCATGCAGCGTTGGGCTCCTTGCTCAGCGAAGAGCCTGCTTCTCCCTCTCTCTCTGCCCCTCCCCCCACTTGTTCTCTCTCTCTCTCTCGCTCTCAAATAAATAAATAAAATCTAAAAAAAAAAAAAAAAGTCCTACCATGTCCTAGATCACTGTCTTAAGAGTGTCCAGGCAGCTTCAAAGGGAAGGGAACCCACACAGAGCTTGGCAAACTCCTTGTATTGAGGAAATGGAATTGAGAGGCCAAACAAGACAACTAGAGTTTGTAGGAGAGTAGAGGGCTACACAGAGAGGTCTTCAGAGAACTACAGAGGGGACACCCCCCCGACCCCCTCAAGTATTCAGCAGAATACCCAGCACATGTATGTACAGAAATGACCTGAGGCTAGAAAAAGAATCACCCAAAAAATTAGAGGGAACAGTGTTTGGCATTCATACAGGGCTGGGGTACAGCACCAGCCAGACTAGAAATCTTGATTCACAGGGCATGAGGTGGAGTATACAGAAGTGTCCTGCGTCATTAGGGGGAAATAATTAATGCCAGATCGAACATTACTTTACTTCCACGTAACAAATCTTAAAAGCAAACCTAAAGAGATCAGTTTGCAAGTTAGTTAGCTGAGTTCTAGAAAAATAAAGAATGTTTATAGAAATACAAGAATATCCAATACTTCCCGTAAAGTTAATTTACAAAGATTACCTGGCATGCAAAATAGCATGGAAATAAAGCTCACAATAAGGAAAAAAATCAAACCCACCCAGAACCAGTATAGATGTTAGAATTAACAGACAAGATCATTAGTTATTATAACTGTATTTCACATGTTCAAAAGTTAAGTAGAGACACTACTTTAAAAAAATTTAATAAAACGTAATAAAATAATTTAGTTGTAAGGATCAAGTAGGCTTATCGGTCACATATTATAAAATGACCTCATTGTTATCTGGCTTTACTTTTTTTACTCATATTTAGAGAAAATTTTGAAAGAATGCATCACCCATGAAAATAATTTCAAGTGTCATTTCATTTACAGGTCTGCATTACATTTACTGAATTTGAAAAAATGCAAAATATTTGTAACTTTCTTATTGAAAAGTTAGATAGCTCTGTTGTCATCAGCCAACCCCAGTTCTATCATACTCCAGGTTCTGTTGAGAATCTTCGGTAAGTTAAGTACATCTTTAACTAAATTACCAATTAATAAAAATTATTCAGTGTTAGAGTTCATTGAATGTCATATTAATAATCTCTGCATTTAATTCCTAAGACGAAAAGCCTGTCTTGTTGCTGTTGAGAACGCATGGCGCAAAGCTCAAGAAGTCTGTAACCTTGTTGGCCAAACTTTAGGAAAACCTTTATTAATCAAAGAAGAAGAAACGAAAGAATGGGAAGGCCAGATAGATGATCTCCAGTCATCCAGACTCTCAAGTTCATTAACTGTACAACAAAAAATCAAAAGTGCAACAATACATGCTGCTTCAAAAGTATTTATAACTTTTGAAGTAAAGGGGAAAGAGAAGAAAAGAAAAAACCTCTGAAATTCCAACTAAAATATATTGTGTTTGTGTCATTTTATTTTTATACTTTTTATGTTTGCTTTTGTCCTGAAAATATATATTGTATATTATATAAAGTATTTCTCCCCAAAATCTGTCAGTCCTTGAATACAGTCCCACAAATACCTAAGTTTACTTTCTATTTTTAAAAACTTACTATGTGGAGGGGAGGGGGTGCCTGGGTAGCTCCGTTGTTAAGCATCTGCCTTCAGCTCAGGTCATGGTCCCAGGGTCCTGGGATCGAGCCCCGCATTGGGCTCCAGCCCCGCATCGGGCTCCCTGCTCAGTGGGAAGCCTGCTTCTCCCTCTCCCACTCCCCCTGCTTGTGTTCCCTCTCTTGCTGTGTCTCTGTCAAAGAAATAAATAAAATCTTTTAAAAAAAATAAATGAAAACTTACTATGGGAAATACTCTGAAAATAAATGTGTTATATGTGCACAATTATATACTGATAATATAAGTGATGTGTAAAATTTTTATATTTCTATTACAGGAATAAATATTGGCAGTCTTATTAGCATGATTCTTAACATTAACAGAGAGAACAGAAAGAATAGAATGACGAGTAATATATAACTTTTGATAAAAGGGTAGTGAGGTATACTAGGAAAATATTTTGATGCCAGAAATAAAATATAGGGACCAGATACTCTTCACCAGGCTCCTTTGATTATACCAGCACTCTCCAATACAAGTAAATGCAAGCCACATATGTAATTTAAAATTACCTGGGAGATACATATAAAAAAAGTAAAACAAAAAAAAGCCGTTGAAACTAAGTTTAAATATTTAATGTGTCCAAAATATTATCATTTCAGCATGTAATCAATATTTTAAAAATAATTAATGGCTAAGTTTTTAAAATCTATACATTGTATATCATAACAAATCTTAATTCAGATGCTAAATTTTCATCAGAAATACTTGATCTGTATTTATTTCCTAAAATGTAGTTGAAAAACTAGATTCATACCTGCAAGTTGTTCCAAACATGCTTAAAAGAGCTAGTAACTCTGCATCAGGTAGCAATTTTCAAATTAAGATTTTTAAAAATTTACAATTCAGTTCCCTGATTGTACTAGCCACATTTTAAGTACTTGAAAGTGGTTAATGGCTACTATGTTGGACAGTGCAGGGTTTTACACTGAGATAATACTGATCCTTAAGGCTATTTGAGATGTAGCAGCAAGTACATGGCATTGCTGTTGCCTTGCACATTATCTGCAGGTGATCATAAACCAAGACTGGTATGTAGCATAGGCTTCCCATTCCCCACCACAGAGCTGTGGGTCCTAGGGTTTTTCCTCTGACCTATGTCCATATTGCTATACGAATATTACTTTCCCACAGCACACTCCAGTACGTAGTTGACATCTCCACCCACTTCGTTAAGTGGCACCGAAACGGTTTTATCCATCTCCTCTGTAGTGTCCTTGGCAGGAGAGAATGTGAAAGCTAAGAAGAAAAGTTTTAGGATCCGACACCCTGTGTTCAAATCCGGACTTTACGACTAAAATGTAAGCTCCTTTAGAATAAAGATCTTGTCTTGTTCACAGCTGCAGTCTCAGACCCAGCAGAGTGTCAGGGCCAACAAAGAGTAGGCTCTCAAATATCTGCTGAGCAAATTTACCAGATGGGGAAACTTAGCAAGCAAGGCACTTTGATCTCTTCAAGCTTCTCTTTCCTCACCAATAAAATGAGGCTAAATACCTACCTTGCAGTGTTACTATAAGGATTAAAGTTGATAAATACAAGACCACAAGAATAATGCCTGCCACACCACAGCTGTCAGTCAGTAAGTAGTAGCCATTATAGCAATTGCATTCTTTGATTACTGCCAACCCCACTAAACTAAAAGTTGGCTCTTCCAAGTCTTCCGTTAAGATGGATTTTTAAATACTTATATTAAAAACATTATCACAAAACCAGTTTAGGATATGTTTTTATTTCAAAAAAAAAGCTAAGTAAATTATATTTTAGCTTTTATTTATCCAGTTGGATAGAAAAGTATATTGGGGCTGAACATCAAGAAAAAAAATTATACTCAATAAAAATCTAATTATGTGGGTAGATTTTTCTTAGCTGTAGCTTCATTATATTTTAGTTTCATCATATTTGGTAAAGTTTTCAGCTTAGCATGAAATAACCTAAAAACAAATTTTCAGTTACCAAACACTTTTTAGAATTTACAGGAATTTTTAAAGATGGTGTTTTAAAAAAAAAAAAAGTCTAAATTGGGCAGTTCTGCAATTCTGTAGAGTGGCCAAGAGAAAAAAAATCCTTCAAAGATTGGACTGCCTATATACGACATCTGAAGTGCTCAAGACTAAGGGTATCAAATTTAGCTGTCAACTGGTGGCAGTTCAATTTCCGACACACGGCATATACTGGAGTCTCACAATGACTCAGGGGGCCTCTGCCACAAGGCCTGCTGGAATAAGCCTATCCCCAAACTAACCCTGACAAAACTTCTTTCTTCTGAACCTCCTTTTTAAAAACTCTTTTCAGAAAACAGCAAATTATAATTGCTGTTTTCTGAAAGAAAAAAAAATTCCCATTAGGATATCTGAAACAGACCCACCATCTTCCAAGCACCTCTGTAAAAGGAAATACTATTAAGTAAATAAATTTTCTAGGATTCTATTACTCAGTTACATGGTAAAGATTACATTTTTTTATAGTAGCAATTTACCTTATTTTTAAGTATCAGTGTTCTTACTTGACAGTTAATTTTAGTTTAACGTAAATAAATAAGACCTGGAAAAATAGTTTGTAACTTAAGATGCTGTACTTCATATCCCATATTTGTTATGTGTCCTCCCAGCAATGTAGGTCGAGGATATCCTAATTCCATCTGACGATGAGAATTTGATAGCGAGGAATTCTTCTCACTGGCCTAAAAATATAAAACATGAATTATGAGGTCAAATATGGGAGTTAATATATTATTATCTACATTACAAAATTATATGGGAGGCAAATGCTTTACTACTCATTACCAAAAAAATCCACTATATAGTTTAACTAAAATAACGTTTACTATTTTTTATGCATATTGTATTTACAGCCAGACAGCTTCTACTTATAATCTAATGTGGCCTAAATTCCTTTAACATGTTCAGTTTTGTTTAAAAGGCTAAAATTCACAGTGACCAATCCAAGTCAAACAGTGTTCTCAGGATAAGGTAATAGATATTTTTCAAGAGGAATGATTTGTGCTGTTTTACTAAAAGAATAATACCCTTTTATAACCTGTTTATCAGGAGGATATTTCTGTTTCAGCAACTCTTGTGGAGCTCTGGCTTCAACATCCCAACCAACAACTACCCCCGTTAGCCACCTTCCTTGTGGATGATCACCAGTCCCACCTCAAAACAGTTTCCACGCTATCTTAGTTTCCACACTAAGGGATGAAAAGCCCAAGTGGCAGGAGAAAGTGCCGATCAAATGATCCTAAAACAAGTTAGTGATCCCTAAATTTAAAAAAAAAAAAAATTCTCCAAATACCATGTTACTTACCATCTGATGGAGGTGGGGTGTGTGTGTATCTGTTTTTTTAAAATATAAAGATTCTATCATTTAGCCTCTGTTTCCCTTCTACAAACAATTTTGGGCAAAGAGTTAAAAACAGATTAATAGTTCCAATAGTTCATACATACATCAGGTTTACACTGATCACATTAATTACATACTAATTATGTTTCATCTGTCTCTACACAAGACCATGAACTCCTCAAGAGCAGGGCTATATCTTAAAATATTTCTTTTCCCAGTATCTCTGGCTAATAAAAAGCTAAGAAGAGGAAAAGCTGGCTGTCAGATATTTCGTTTTACTCCCTATCAGAGGGATAGCATTTATAGCAGAGTACTTGAATGTTGGTACACACAGAAGTAGGGAAGGAAAATACAAAGCACTGATTCGAAACGTATGTTCAAAATGTTTGCACATTTTATCGCTAAAGGGGTATACTTTTATTTCTCCAAAGCTTTGCTTTCTCAGAAAATAAGTCTGTGGCTATGCAACAACAAAAATTTTGTTGTCTAAACTAGTCTCTTAAATTATTTCAGACCCTATATTCATTTTAGGCTTTCAGATCAGCTCTCAGTGTGTATCTCTGCCCTTCACCACCCAGCATTGTCACTTGTACCACACATTCCTCACCAATAGGACATAACACACTGCTCAGGAAAGTTGCTTTTGAAATTCTGACTGCAGCCACTATAAAACTGCATCTAATAAGTTAACTTAGAACTTTTAATAAACAGATGCTTAAATTGAATTTGTTTCCATTAGCATTAATTTTACTTTCAAAGCTATTTTAGAAAATCATATTTGTACCTGATAGCAATAATGCATTTATAACTCAAAAAGTTTTTATGCTTTTACCTTTTATTGAATCAGTCATATTTATTGTAATATGAATTTAAAAAGAATTAGTACAGTGATTCAAATATATCAACTCTAGCCCAAGTAAGTAAATAACATCAAAAGAAAATTTTTCTTAGTTTATGCTAAATGAATCATATATCTAAGATATTATATTCTATATTGGAGTAGGGGTAAGGTATAATTAACTCACTGTTGAATGTCAACCAAATAAAATACAAAATTATTTTTAACATATCAAATGTTTCACTAGCTCAGAACCCTGTAAGGTAAGCATAGATTTCTTTTTCATTGTCATTGTACCTATTTCTAAAATGATAAAGAGGCAGGGATTATAAACTGATGTGTCTCTGCAAAGAACCCAATATGAATATGCAGCAGAAACCTTTAAAAAATGTATTTGCAAACCACAGAGGCCATCATATATCTGAGGAATGACTATATTGGTTTCATTCTGTAGGAATGAAATTTCACAGTATTCCAAAATGTTACTACTCTTGAACATTACATGCATTTAAAATATTCAGTTGTTTAGTACTTCATTTGAATAATAGAGAATTAGCTAATATTAAATTCAACACATTAGAAATGTTTTATGTAGGGGCGCCTGGGTGGCTCAGTCAGTTAAGCGTCTGCCTTCAGCTCAGGTCATGATCCCAGGGTCCTGGGATGGAGCTCCGTGTCGGGCTCTCTGCTCAGCGGGGAGCCTGCTTCTCCCTACCCCTCTGCCTTCTGCTCCCCCTGCTTGTGCTCTTTCTCTCTCTCTGTCAAATAAATAAAATCTTTAAAAATGTTTTATGTAAATGTTAGGCACT